ATAAATAAATCTTAAAAAAAAAAAAAAGAATGAGAACAAGTGACAACCTTTAGAGAGGATGGCTCCAAGAGAGGCTGAAAACACTCATGGAAGAGGGAGTGTATTTACCGAAGGAGTGAGGAGTCCGAGAGAGGAAGGTTGGATTCAAGGAAGGGAAGGAAGTTGGGATTCATTCACTCCAGCTTTAGAAAACAAAAGGCTCAAACCATTCCCTTGTCTTGTGGTGACACAGACCTTCAGCATCTGTATTTTCTACCGTCTCCCCATTTTACTTTGAGCATCCTTGTCCGTACCCCATCCTACTCTTCATTAAATCTTTTTATGGAACCCACTCAGCTAGAGTCATTGTGCTTCTGAATGCAGGTGGGCAGGCAGGCAAAGACCTATGACTGCTGACTCCAGGAGGCCCTTGGGCGCAGGAAAATGTGGGCTAAAATAAGGGGAGGAAGTCACAGAGAGCCCGTGGGGCAGCCACACATCAGCTACTGGGATATGTTATAATCACCCTAACTTCAGTTTCTTCATTTGCAAAGTAACAATGCAGTGTTAATACAGTGTGTGTAGTAAAGAGAGATAATATACACAGAAACCGCCCTGAGATAGTGCTTGGCATTTATAAATGTTTATTATAAATGCACTTCATGAAAATATAACCCTCATCATAGTGCATACAACAGTCTTTCACTGGAATAGCACCTGATGAATGCCGATACGTCATAATAACTAAATAAAAATATATTGGAGGTTATAAAGCCTTTTGCATATATATAATATTTATCAAAAATAGCCTATTTCTTCATTCTTCTAACCTTTTACTATCTTCAAAATTAGATTATTCCTTAGTTTTACCCAGGGACTAATCAGGATTGTATTGGAAGTTGTTTTTGAGGCTTCTGTTTGAAGACAAAAACCTTAATTCTTTATAGTTCCACCTGCAGAGCCTAACCTCATCAAGCAATAAATGGGCTTTGAAATAAAATGAACCTTAAATAGGTTAAAATGCATCCTCTTCTCAAGTATAGTGTTAGATTGTTCGCAACAGTCCTTTCTCCACTAACAGCAGATATTCCTTTTGATCTTTCTTAAATGACTACTGGCAGCAAAAAATTTCCCTTCTTTCTGTGCCTGCAGAGCCTCTGAGATCGGTGCTAGTCTGCTTGTCTTTCATTTATAACTTGTCCAAATTCCTCTTTTATTTGATACACTCTCATCTAGATAGAATTTCCTTTATTTAATTTTTGTAAATCTTCCCTTCAAACGTTCCTCATTCTGCTACTAAATGATATCAGACTCCCTATTTCTTTATTACATCCTTCTTTTTTTTTCTACGCACCTCCTTCCAATCCCATCAGTACAACAATGATCACTTGCATTCTTGTGATCATTTGCGTTTCATTTTTGTTCTTGTTTATCTCCCTCTCCCCTCCCTATGTTTTCTTTCTCTCGGAGCAGGTCTGTGGACTGGGGTAGTGTCAACCCCAATGCCTCATTTTCACAGAAGTGTGAGTAAGACCTTTAGGTAAGTAGGGGATAAAGGCTTTGCTGCATATTCTAACTTTTCTTTTGTCTCTTATCTTTTCTTATTTATACTGAGATTTACTTGCAAGAATTTGTGATCTATTGTGTGCCTGTAAAAATCCCCTTTGATTGGTTTTGATGTGCTTATTTCTTTATAGGAAAAAATAATGTATAGCATTCTTCTAACCATTATCTTAAATCTAATTCTTTTCCTACTTTTGATGCGCTTAGTGGCCATTCTGTAATAGCCATTGCCAGTTGTCACTGTATTTTCTTTTTTAAGGTGACAGCCTTACCCTCAGAGGGAGGCTGTCATTGTTAACTCAGCAGCTTTTGTCACATTCTCCCAGATCCTAGGCAAGTGGTCTTTACCATAAGCCAACACAAGGAACACTTTCCAAATGTCCATGTGAGAAAATGTGCTTCTCTTTCCTGAACAGTGCTGTCTGGATTGCCAGGCAGCGTCTTGGGATGCCTTTGCTGCTCTGTTTTTGGTGAATCACTTTAGGTTCATTTGGATGTGTTGTGGTTTTCTGGAATTGGTAAATGTGAGCAGTGACAAAGTTTTCCATTAAGTTCTATGGACTTCTCTGAGACAGCCACTGGGCTAACATGTCTTCTTCCTCCCACCACCTTCTTCTTTCTACCCCAGAAGTTCCAGTGGTAGGAATCTGGATTTGTATATGTGTGTTCTTTTGTATTCCTCTGAGTCCTGGTATATATTAAGTACACAGAGTTATTTTTCCCTAATGCACAACTCCATGAGATAAGAATGTGTGCGTGTTATTATTAAAGAACACTTTTCTCTGTTATAACTCGTGTCTTGTTTGGTTGCTAGTTACAGAAATATAATTAAACTGCCCTTACCCTAAAAGAAAAGAAAAGCAAAAGGTCAGAGGGAGGTGAGCTCAATAACTGGAAAGTTTTGGAAATAGCTAATGTGAGTCTGACAGTTTCCAGGACTTTCAACAGTGTTATCATGAATATGTTTCCATAGTCTCGTCCTTTGTCCTTTGCTTCTTCTTTACAAAGACTTTTCCCATATGAAGACAAAGATGATCAATGGCATCCAGGCTTATGAACTTACCAAAGTAAATCATTTTCTATTAATTCCAGGAACATACTCAAGATAGGAGTCTCATGGTCCCAACGTAGGTTTTGTCTTCATTCTCATCACAGGATTCCCTGTCATTCTAGAATGATGCAGCTTTCTGAATGGATAAGCCTGGATTGCACCCCCCTCCAGATACAGATGTATCAACTCCACCCAGCTGCATGGACCAAGAGGAGGGGCGAATTGGCTCCCTAAAAATCAGCAGGAGTGCTATCAAAACATGGCGAAACAGGACTGGTGCATTGAAAACATGTCATCTTCACTGTGAAGGGGTGGAGGGGGGTAGAGAAGAATGAAGATAGAACAACAGGGAAAGTCAAATGGAGACCTAAGGATTGTTATTTAAACTGAAAAGGTACTTCCTGGATGGGAAAAAAATATCTCTACACTGTACTATCGACAAGGGGCTAATATACAACTCAACAAAAAACTAAGAACACAATAAAAAATGGGCAGAAGTGCTAAATAGGCACTGAGCCACAGATGGCAAACATATGATGCCAACAGGCAGTTGAAAAAAGTGTTCATCTTAGGAAACAGCAAATCAAGACCACAATGAGGTATCATCTCCCACTTGTGAGAATGGCTCATATTCAAAAGACCAGATTCAAGTATGGAGAACAAAAGACTGTTAATGAGTAACTAGAGTAGTTCAGCCTTGATGGAAAACAATATGGAGATTTCTTAAAGTAATAGTAATAGATCTACCATATGATCCGGCAGTTCCACTCTTAGATATATATCCAGAGAACATAAAAACTCTTTCAGAGGTATAAATATACTCCTATGTTCAGTACAGCACTATCTAAAATTGACAAGTTATGGAAACAACTCAAGTATATAATGACAGATGAGTGGGTAAAGAAGACATGGTATACATGCACAATGAAATACTACTAAGCTATAAAAAGATTTTATAAAATTATAAAAATTTTAATTATAAAATTATAAAAATATTTTATGACAACCAGGATGGAACTAAAGGGCATTATACTAAATGAGGTAAGTCAGAACGAGAAAAATACTGGGTGATTTCATTTATATGAAATATAAAGAAACAGAACAAAGGAACTAATGAAATCAAACCAAAACACACTTTAGAATTATGACTAAAGAAGTGAAGGAACTAGATGGGGAGGGACCCAGTGGATGCTGGGAGAGGATTATTGAAGCTTTGCTGGTAGGTATAGTCTGGTAACATACATTTGAAGAAGTTTGAACCTGTACCCCTAAAACATATATAGTGTTGTAAACCAGAGTCATTTCAATAAAACCTTTTTTTAATGTAAAACATGAAGTGTTTTTTTAAATGTTTATTTATTTATTTATGTACCCAGAACAGGCCAGAGGTGCAGGGCAGTGAGAGGATTCACCAGAGACAGAGTGGGGAGCAGAACAGGCCAACTGATGAAGGGGAGCAGAGGGTGGGTCAGGAGAGGTCTGCTGTGCCATGTGGGTCACCTCTGGGGCAGGTGGGTATTGAACTCATTGGGAAGTAGCTTTAGCTTCTTAGTGCTGTGCTTTAACCTGCTGCGCCACCAGGGAGGGCCTAAAACATGAAGTATTTTTAATTAAGAAAAACCTGTGCTGATGCGGAAGTAGGTCTTGATATGTCCTGGTCTGTATTTTTTCTGTAATCATAGATCCATTGTTCTTTGACTTTCTAACCAAGGTGATATGAAGATAAGTGTCTGTGCCCCTCACACAAAGGAGAAGTAGCAGTGTCCCTACATGGCCCTGGACATAATTTGAAGAGCGTCTGCATACTCTTCTTAGCTAGCACCCGCCATTGGTTTATCCCACTCTGCTGGGACCAATTTCTACAGCAGCCTCCACAAGGACTCAGCTGCAGTCCAGGGAGCTAAAAGGCCCTCCCGGTCACTGCTGCAGTGCAGGTTTACGGAAAGTACGCACAGGCCCACCATGTCCCCAGGGGCTCAGCTCTCCATGATGCTGAAGTCATTAGCAGTTATGTTCAGTCACAGCTTCCTTCCCTGTCTTCTGAAAAATTGTTTGAGCAGAAAGAGGCAACAGATGGAGCTGGTGGCCAAGGCCAGTACCATTTTAATTCTCAGATGGTTTGTCAGTCATTGGGGTGCAGTGACCTCCAGAAACAGGGATGTTTTGCATTAAATCAGAGACATAAGTGCGCTTATTCCCTTGCCACTATAAGCTGTGACCATTCACACTTGCTACAAACAAGTATATCATTCCGGAGGAACAGAGCGTGGTGACCATAGCAACAAATCATCTAAATATTATTTTTTGGTTCCGTTTGCCTTTTGTTAAACCTCCTTTTCCACAAACAACTGTGGTAGTGTCTCTGTTGTAACTAGCCTTTCATTTTCTCTTTTTAAACTATATACAGGAACAAAGAAAGAAGTACAAAAAGATCAAGATGTAAATAAACCTGCTGTTTCATCACCTAAGAGAATAGTGGCTTCAACCACCAAGATTCAGTCTCCAGGTACCTAAGAAATGTGATGGGTGTTATTTGGGGAGAAGACTTTGCTTGGATTTTATTTTGTCGCATGGCATTAATGGAGCAGTGCCAGTCCAGGTGGTATGCTTTATTGTTCCAGAACCTGACATACATGTAGTGAGATTTTCTGAATCGAGAGTAAATGAATCAGCTCTTGCCATCCTTTTTATCTTTAAAAACAACATGTTACATGCTGTGTTTAAGTGGTAGAATCTTCTTCGTTTTGGAGCATCTGCTATCCCAACAGCATAGAGAAATAATTTGTAATTTAAAAATAGACTTTGAAGATCTAACCTCAAGAGAGACTATTTTTGAAAGGAAAAAAAAAAA